TTTTGTCTTGTCCCGTTATGGGACTAGTTCAGGTCTATTACTTGCCTGACTTTTGAACTTGGGATGTGAATCTGTGTGTGGTACTTTTAGGCTTTGCCTGTCATTTCTAACTTACTAGCAAAAGGGGAGGAATGGATTTAATTTTCTTCATGTTTGTAAAGCATGACAGCTAAAACGTGTGTTTCTCTGGTACAACTCTTCTCACCCCAACTCTGTGAAAAGAACTCTGTGGCGTCCACCTTGAGAACAGTTTTTATGCTTATGAACAGGAGTGAGCTGGGATGCTCAAGTCTAACTTCAGCAGCTGGGCTGGAGCAAACACCTCATTTCTTGGCTGCACTTTGTGATGGTGCCTATTTTTTCTCCCCAAGGACGGTGCATGGGGTCTAGGTCACTCACAACTCTGTTAGGTAGAGGAAGGTGCAGCACTAAGGCATAAATACTGCCATGCTGAGTGGCAATTTCCTGCCTAATTCCCATTTGTTTCAGTGGTGAAGGGTTCTTTCACTTGGATGGGCCCAAATGCCTTGTGGATTTGGGGTTAGAGGAAGGAGGAGGTCACAGAAGAGACAGTGTTTTTCCTTTTTTTCTAAGTCTTGTAGAGCAGACTGAGGTGTTTACACTAAATGTATTCACGTGAAACACTTTAATACAGGCAGCTACATAAACAAAGTGTAAATCCCTTCTAAGGAAAACCAAAACAAGCAAGCAACCAAAAAAACCACACAAAAAGCTCCTCTCACACCTCTTCTCTTTTTCTGATGTGTCCTCGTGAAATCTGCCTTCTATTTAACAGAAACAAGTGACTCAGAAGATAAAAAAGCAAGGAAGCTCTTTTTGATGTGGAAAGCACTCCGCAGTGGCTACTGAAAATCACCCTACTGAGTACCTTGGAGCTGCAGAATGGAATGTAAAACAGACACCAAAGTTAAGTAGCAGCTAATACGTGGGAATTGAGTGTTGTACAGAGCACAGATGCTTTTAGTAGAGTGTTGTGTTTTTTTTCCCACTAAAGACAAATGTAAAGACTCAAGCCCTGTTAGAAACAGAACAACTTAGCTCCTAAGAGATGTGAGGCCTGTGCAGAGCCATGGCTTCATCCCTTGGAGAGGATGCAGTCTACAGCTTTGATTCCTTTCAGTAGGCATATAAATGAAAGAATTGCTCTGAAGTACAGGGAGTAAAGTTTGTATAGTATTTACTTAAAATTTCCTGTTGTTAGTCTATTTAACTGTGTTCAGGCCCCCTTCATATGCCTCAATGCAAGCCTGGGACAGTGGTATTGGTCTGTTACTTCTGGATTGATGACAGCACACCTAGTACATGTCACAAGGCCTGACTTTGAGAGCTGTGCAAGGATTAAAGTGCATGAACGAAATAATTCCACTGAGAAAAGAGAGCAGGCAGGACAGATGCATCAAAAAAACTAATGCTGCATTTGCTCCTCTGACTGGCTTGGCCTCCAAATTACAGTATTCCTAAACAGTTTCTGCAGTCTGTCACCATCATTAGCATTTGGAACCCTAAAGCCAAATGCAGGAAAAGTTCCAAGTTGTCCTTTAAGTTTTTTGTTTGTTTGTTTGTTTTTTGGTTGTTGTTTTTGTTGGGTTTTTTGTTTGTTTTTGTTTTGTTTTGTTTTTGTTTTTTTTTAAATAATCATTTAGCAAAACTTACATAAAACTCTCATAGTCAGGTTTACCGCGTGTTTGGCAAAATGGTTTATTGTATTACTACACTTCAGGCCAAGTGAAAGGTGAGTTGCCTAACTGGTTTCTTTTCCCCATTCTAGGTGAGACCTTTACTTTCCAATTTAAAGGCAAAAAATTGATAGCCTGGGGTAATGCCTTTAATCATGAGACATAAAATGTAATTCTGTAGGCTGAAAAAAGTTCAAGAGGAATTCTGCCCAGTTGAACAGAATTAGGATTAAGATTATTGATGATGAGAGGCAGCTCAATTGGCAGTAGATGTCTCAAGAGGATAAATAAATATCCAGGTCAACTATTTTCTAAAAAATAGATTGAATGTGTCAGCACTATCAAGTTTGACTGAAAACTTGCATCAATTTGCTTTGCAAAGATCATCAGTTTCTATGAGAAGCACAAATGCTCTCAACTCTTGCTGGTGGCCTCAGACACATAGAAAATTGATTGAGTGCTTCATAACTGTACTTTTAATGTTAACACTATCTCAAATCACACATCCTGTTACACAGAGTGGAACGCAACACTTTTGACATCCTTTAGGGTTATTGTACTTTCTGCATATCTAGTGTATGTAAGAGCTTTCCAGTCTTTCACTGGAATTTATTCAATAATACAGCATTTAAGGATGTACCTGCAAACCCTTGCGGTAACAGGATGGTCCAACATGCCTGGTAGACAGTCCCATGGGACTCTGTCCTATGTAAAACTTGCTTTTAGAAAGAGCAGCACGTTGCAAGTATATCCTTACTTATTCTAGGTTAGAGCTAATAAACTGTGCAAAGTAATTTGACAGTTTTTGCTGAACTGTTCTATGGGTTTTGTTTTGGTTTATTGGGGTTTGTTTGGTTTATTGCCTTATTCCTGTATTTGTTCTGTAGGGTGGTAAAGTGGGATGGGTCCTCTCTGGAATATTGGTCCTTGCAGAACTAGGCTTAGTTGAAGGATCTCATACAGTTTCTCTAGTATCTAGATCATCTGCTCTACAGAGGGCTACACGTGGGACAGAGCACTGGTACAGCTTTCTTTCTAAATGCCAGGGGTAAATACAATTTTTCTGTAAATAAATACATACAGGGTATACACCCCATGTAACCTGGAACTTCTGCCCCTCCATACTATTGCTGCTGCACACCTGGGGTTTCCTACCATGTTACACTCCTCGGATAAACTCCCTTCAAAACAAACCATGTTCTGAATTAATGAAAAAAGATGCATTAAGAAATTTCTGTAAACATATACAAAGCCAAAAATATCTGAACAGCTTATGTGTTTACTTGCACAAAAATCTCACCATATGGTTACTGATCCTTTGTGCAGAACGACAGGCCTTTTAATCAGGTGACATTTACTCGTTGCAGTGTAAACTGCTGTTTTATTTCTGGCTGTATTTAATAGAAATTTCCCATTATATTTACTCTCTAATTTTCTTCAGTAAGAATTCTCTTCAGGAAGAACCAGGTAGTTTGCCGTTTTCTGTTACTCTGAAGTTAGATTGCCAAGGTTGTGTTTTGATATATGAACTAAAAGGCACTTGGCAAGAAAATAACAGAGATGCTACTTCACATAGTTTAGGTATTTTAAAGGAAGGATTTGAATGTGGCTATGGGGCACTATTAAAGCTGAAAAAATAACTCTCAAAATAGACCTGACTTGGTCAATTTAGTAATTGTTTTACTTGGCACATCTGTTAGATGTAATCTGTGATATTCCAGTCATTTAGGTAGGTGTGATGGGGCCTGTGAGCTGCAAGTTGTTGTGCTGGGATTCCAAATTTCCCAGAAAAAGCAACACAGGAAGGGAAAACAGGGAGTTGGGGGTTGTTGCTTTAGACTGAACCAGAGCTTCATAAGCATGAAAGTTGACAGGGTTTGATCACTTGTAAAACTGACGGATGTTGAATGAATGTATTACTGAAAACCAGACTGATAGCTATTTTTCACAAGTTACTCTAAAGCATGTGCTTTTCCTAACAGAGTTTAAACCTATTTTTTGCTCATCACATTAAAGCTCATGTTATTCTACCTAAAAAAGGGGAAAAAAAAGTGCTTTTACCAGCTTGCCTAACCATGGATGATATTTCAGGAAAAGGTCTTACAAGGTTAATGAGTGTATCCAGTCTCATATCTCATATACTATATAGATCATTGCATTCACTAGTCTATTAATTTTCTACTTGGACCTCAATCAGTGACCTCAAATATTTACATGTTCACTCTGCCTTTGAGGCAGAAAGTCTAATCTTCACTGTTGCTTTGATACATTTGAATAGAAGAATTATGGTGAGGTATATGAGACATAGATAATCTCCACTCTAAACAGAACACTTGATCTTCCCATGCATTTCCCTGGAATATTGGGGTAAATTTTCAGTGACTGTAACTACACCAAACTTAATCCTAAAGAAAATTGCTTGAATTTTACAAGGCATTTTTTCCTCTGTGTGATCAATTCTGTACAGATGTTGATGCAGTGAGGAAGTGTTCATAGGAAAAAGGAAATAATTCATCCCATACAGTAATTAATGTATCTTCAGTATTGTCAATTGCTTGGAAATACTGGATGATGTTACTGGGTTTAGATTTTCTGCTTTATAGTTGTAAAAAGTCTATAGGTATATATAATATAGAGGTAACTGATAAATTCCTTCTCAAATCTAAAGCAGTATGATAAATTTCACAACTCTGTCAAATGGGTTTGCTGTAAGTAAAACAGACTCTATAGCATACCCCTTGTTGTTCAAACCTTTCATCAATTAATTTTAACTATTGAAATTGAAATATTTCTCAGTGAAGTATATTGTTAACTGTTGCTTTTCTTCAAAGGCACTTACTTCCTAATATATTTGATGACTGCTGTGAAAACAAGGTGCATTTAACTGCTATCATGTGTATGAAGTATTATATAGAACAGAGTGATATATTTAAAAGGTGGTGTCTGTCAGCTATTTAGATCCCTATTTACAGGTAGATAGGCCTACCAGACACACTTAAAATGTGACTTTCTTTCTTCAATACTAACCAAAACTAATTGCTATGTACAGTGTAAACTTAAGTGGCGTTATAATAGGGATCAGCCAAACCATTTTTTAAGGAAAAAGTTATTTTTTTTCCTCTTCCTACACTCAGAATCTGTTGTCAAGCCACCCAAGCCTTGGTCTTAGAGCCACTTGCTTGTAACCGATGCATAAATACTATGAAACATCCTCTGACAGTGGAATTAGACACATCATTCAACAGTTAGACATCTTGGTAATGGAATGAGACACAACAGTTTAATGTCTACATCACAGTTTGAGTGAGTGTTCAGGTTTTATTCAATCATAAATGCTGGATTTTTATATTGCTGCAACAAATTTTTTTATTCTGCAGCTGCGACAAATCAAATGATGCAGCCTCATCTGTATGTCCAGACTGGGTTTTAGAAGCTAGTGGTTTGTGCAATCATTTTCTGTTTTGTTTAATCTAGATTGGCTACATGGATGTAGAAGAGCCCAGGTTCTGAGCACAGCCCTTTAAAGGTGTAATAGTTAAATTTTCAGGATGTAGAACTATACAATACTATTAATTAAAGTATTAAAACAAAGGCAACTAAACAGGGCAAAAGGAAATGCAGTTTCATACAGAGAATGTAACTGCAATAGAGAAAACTTACAGACATAGAGCATTCAAATCAGAAATGGAATGGATTTATAACTATCACTAATATTTCTCCACATATATATAAAATTTTATCACAGATTTATAACAGCCTGTGAATAACAAGATTAAGAAAATAATACCTTGAAAAGAAATAAATTCAAGCCTCCACTGAAATACCAAGAAACTCTTCAGGATATGATAACTGAAAATGCATTTTTCCTTCAGAAAATGGGGATAAAATTAAGAAAATGAAAGGAAGTTTTATAGTAGAATACATTAGCCAGACTAGAAAGGTCATTAGAAATTTTTCAGAAACTAAAAATGAATTTTTACTTTATCAGCAGTGGCCAGGAAATTTTCCTGATGTACTAGAAAAACATCTGCAGAAACAAATATTTTAGGTATACAATATGATTTTTAAAATTAATTGTTGAACCCTATTCCCAGGGATGTGTGTGTGGGTGTGGTACAGTGGGAAGCAGATTAAAAAGAGAATCCTTTATCCATACATAGCCCTGATAACTATGGCTAAATGCAGGATTTACAGCTGAACATATTGTTTGGTTTTGTTTTGGCAGCAAATCCAGATGATGGTGTATTATGTTCATCTTCTGATAACTAGGATTACCTAGTAAGTCCTTTGCAGAAAAGCAAAAACTGGCTTTACGTTGTGCAGTTGATGATGATGTAGCTTTTCTGACCACAGCTGCTGCCCTGAGTAACCACTGAACTGGACAAGCCATTTAGAAAAAAATTACACGCCTTTTTGAGAACTGACACTCATAAAAGAGTGAGCTCCAGCAATGAATGTTGGTGAGAGATGATTCACAGATTGATATTTCTGGTTTGTTTTTTTTTCCTCACTTCTAGATGGGATGCTGTTCCCAAGTGTCTCTCCTGCATCCTCCTTTGCCTGCTGTCCTGCCTGGTAGCATTCAGAGAACTGTAAATGCACAACACTCTATACTAAGTAGTCACTGACTACTTAATGCTCGAACTTTGATACTCTAAAGTTCTAAATTTAAATTTAAGATATGTTTCTAAACTATATAAGGTCACTACAATAAGAACTGCTACGTTTTTTACCTCTTGTACTAGCAGGAGTGTTGGATATCGGTAAATCCTCTGTTCCTAAACATTTCTGGAGTCTTGAGTGAGACCTGGCCTATAGAAAAGTATCCAAAGTTATTGCTTTGTTTTCTGCAGAATAATTTTGCTCTAACTAAAAATACAATTTTTTTTCTTACATAGTTTATTTTTATAGATTGTGCCATGCAGTAGCTGCCTGCGTAATGAAACAATATTTTGATACAACTAGGAAAAAGATGGGAGTGCTGGAGACATTGGCTTTATTTGCATGTTTTAAAAATACATTTTGTGAAAAGCTCAGAAAAGTTACCTTTTTCTTTTTCATTCTGAGATTACATATAAATGACTTCTGCAAACAACTCAGGCTTGATTTATCTGCCTTGATCTAGGCTTGCTTCAAGATGTCTAAAGCGGAAGATGGAGAAAGGCAACAAAGATACTTTGAAGTGTGATGGAATATTCAGATGGTGGGGGGTTACAAAATATACGAACGTGAAATAGAAACAGGACTTGGCTCAGGATGTGAATGAAAATTAGTGGGACCTGACTTTAGTGATCAAAAGTATGAATACCTGTGAACACCAGTGAGAAACTGTTAAACAAATTTTCTTAGGAAAAAATGATTGTTAGTTTAGAAATTTGCAAAATTGCTGTAATTTATGAGAGTATAGGGAACCTGTTGAATTCATTGTCACAGACATCAGTGTTCAGTGACTGACTAGATGTTTTTGATGGGCTGAGTTAATTTTAAGAGTGCTGATAAAACAACTCTTTGTAGGCATGCTGAGATGATCATTCAGACAAATCAATTCTCAATCTTCTCGAAAAGAGCACATCAGGGGTCAAAAAAGCAATCCTCCTTCTGGTCCTACAGTGAACTGCTGGCTCAGAACAGAGCTCATTTCTCTGAAACAGCAAGCACTGACCACTGCCTGAGGCAGTCTTCTAGACGAGGTAATTAATCCAGTTAATTAATTTGCTGATCTGTAATGCAGCAAATTGTGTAATTCCGAGGTTTTGCCTCTTTGTTTGGTTTTGAAGTAATCATTATTTTGGTATATTGAATCACAAAACTGTTTAGGGTGAAAAAGACCTTTTAGATTATTGAGTCCAACTGTTAATTTAGCACTGCCAAGTCCACAGCCAAACCACGTCCCCAAATGGCACATCTACACATCTTTTAAATACCTTCAGGGACAGTGAGTCTACCATTTCTGTGGGCAGCCTGTTTCAGTGCTTGACAACCCTTTTAGTGAAGAAATTTTTCCTGATAGCCAATCTAAACCTCCTCTGGCACAACTTGAGGCCATTTCCTCTCATCCTGTCACTGAGAAAAGAGACCAATACCCACCTTGCTACAACCTCCTTTCGGGTAGAGTGACAAGGTGTTCCCTCAGCCTCCTTTACTCCAGGCTAAACACCCCCAGCTCCCTCAGCTGTCCCTCATCTGACTTGTGCTCCAGACTCTTCACCAGCCCTGTTGTCCTTCTCTGGAGATACTGCAGCACCTCAATGTCTCGCTGGTAGTGAGGGGCATAAAACTGTACATATTGACATCATGCACCTGAAGCTCATGCCTAAGAGCACCTTACTGCTTTCTTTTCTTTTTCTCCTTATGGAGGAAAACATTGTTCTGATGTAGCATATATAGAAAACTGATGTAAAGAAGACAGCTTCCCATTGTTATTTACCAACCAAGCATAGGTGATGCCTGGTTATTCATCTTCAGCCAGACAAAGAAGAAACTCCTTTCAGCACAATCAGGAAACCCAAGATTTTTATATTTTTCCACAGATATAATAACAGATTCCCAAAGATTTTTGAGGTTTAGATGAGAGCAATGCCTATTTGTTTATGAGACATAACTCCTTTGGAAAACAAAAATACTGAATGACAATTTTATTTCTTTTGTGTATGTGTGTTGTATTCAATTAATCCAGGTTTTCTAACATGAATGCTCAATATGAAGGAGGCTTAGCTCATTTTAACCCAGAAACCGAACTACTTGCATTGTCATTATATGCTTATGATTAAACAGTCTCTAGAGACCAAGAAATAAATTGAGTGCCAAGTCAAGAAAATTAGGAAATGAATCTGCACTAGTATTTCAATTGATCTGCATATTCTAACATGGGAATTTAGGTTGGGCTCATTGGGACTCTGATCACAGTGTCTAGTTACTGAAAATGGCTTTTCCCTAGTAACCACAAAAAGCTGATTATCACTGATATTGGAAAAGGAATGTCCTTGCTGCTGCAGCACAAACCTCTCACAGTTTACTCAGACAATAATGGAAATCATGTATTTTTCTGTCTGTTATACCAAGAGTCATTGCTGTTAGGTTCAAGATACCAGACTTAATGGCCTGATCATTTCACTGAATGACAAACCCTCTTTTCTTGTTATATACATCATTGTTTCATCCTTATTTATTTGACTTTCAAGGGAACATTTTTCTCATCCTTACATCTTGGACTGCAGGGGGTTATTTGGTAGCCAAACCTTACTCACATAGATACTGTTTTTATCTCCATTGGAATTAAAGATGCAACTTTTACTGACTTGATCAGGACAGAGTTTTGTTTTCATCTGGGAAGTTACAAATAATAAAAAATGTATGCTAAAGGCAAAAATCCTGCCATCCATCTCACAGCTGAGGAATGCAGAACCCAAGAAGTGATTGGTGCAGTAATGCAAAGAGGGGACCAGGCACAGAGCTTGGATCTCCCAAAACTCAGCCACTTCATTTGGTAAGTGCTGGTTATCAGACAAGTTGTAGGAAATAATCTGGATTTTGCCATTCTTTTACATGCCTGATATTACAATGCCATGCAGTACCTTTTCAGCAGCAGCTGTCACTGTGATTTTTTAGATGGAGCCTATCTGGATATCTGAAATTAGAAAAAATCATGCAGAACTAGAACAAATAATTTCTTTGTAAAATAAATGTGGCATTTAAAAATTATATGCTAAAATATGCAAATAGGGTATCTGTTTTGAAGGAAAAACATGGGTATGTGTTAACTTCCTTCTAAATTAATTCAGCACAAGTGTCTTTGGATTTTAAATGTAGTCCTCAGGAGAGTAAATACTGCATAATGTGATATGCTAGAAAAGACTTGAAATGCACCCACTAAAAGCTCATTTTATTGCTGTATTCACCCACAAACTTTCTAGCTGGCAAGTTCTACACCTAATTTTCAAAGATTAAAACTTGCTTCTAGAAAATTACTCCAAATAGAAGACTAAACTGCTACAATGGAATTTTGATCACCACTAGCTACAGCAATAATTGCCAAGCAAATTTAACATTATATAGTATTGTATTTTAACAACTAGTAATATTTGTATTTGTTATTTTTTGTACATGTTTTTTGCTTACACATTTTCATATTTAAGTTGAAGTCAAGTATTCAAAATGGAGAAAGACAGAATGCTTTCAGATTTTTGTACTTCTCAACAATTCCATTCTGCTTAAATGGGACTAAAGAGTTTACAGGCTTATAGTAAGACATAGTTCAAGGAGAATAAAAAAGAAATTCTTTAACAGACCTGTTTCTTTAAATTCATATTGTCATATTAAAATACAACAACAATATTAAGTTGCACATGAATTAGGGACAAATTTAGAGCAAAATGAAAATTAAAACATTAACTATTACTTTCTCATGTCTAAGCAGAACAATGGTTCAAATTCCTTTTCCTTCAGCTATAACACATTGTGCAGTTATCCAGTTAGTTAAAATATAAAGTACAGGCAAGCTAGGGTAACATTTGATCGAAAATGGGCAAAGAATATCTAAGTATAGAAGAAAGTGCTGCTGGACCCATCCACCACCATTTCACTGGGGCTCCTGGGGCTTGTGGATATGCTCTTTTGTGTCTGAAGTTCAAAACTTCACACTTGGCAACACTGTTATTTAAAAATCGGATAGCCTCACTAAAAGTACAGGGTTTAACCTAGTCTGTTGGTTCATTTAATTGAATAATTACGTTCTGTTTTCCTTTGTATTTCTCCTGCAGGATCAAAGTCTGTATTTCTTTTAACAGGATCACAACCCCTTTCTGTTCTGAGCTGCCAGGCAAACAGCACTGCCTAATTATATAGCTGTATAGCAGTACAGCATGTCTTATACCACAAATACATATTGAGAGTATTTGCACCCTTTGGGATTAGAAATACAGCATAAATCCAAATTCTTGATAAATTAATGATGCTGTTTTTCTATCCTATGGCTCTCATAATGGAAGAATCTGATGAAGTTGATGGGGACCACTGTTCCCTTAGACACACACAGCTCTACTGAAATGAATCCCTCTGGTACACTGATGTCCTTGGCTAATGTATGGGCTGAAAACTAGAGTGGACATTAGGAGGAATTGGGCTCTGCTTCTGCACTGTGTGTGCTCAGCAAGAGGGCATATGAAATTAGTACACAGACTCTCTCCTTGCTTCACAGGCCACCAGCTTAATCCTACCATGCAGCCTGCATCCTGCATTCCTGTGCTTTTCTGGGATGTGGTTGTGGGTAATGGTGCTAGCTAGCAGTAGTATTGCACTATCTATTATCTAATATCTATTTAAATGAGATCTAAATTATCATACTGATCTGTGGAATACTGTAACAACTCAGTTAATTTGCTTGTCTGTCTTCCCTTTTCTTTCTAAAGCAGTTCCTACTATGATATTTAGGAAATGATACTACAGCTGTCAGCAACAAATTTTGTTTACAGTTTCTCAGGATAGCACAAACCGCCCCCTCCAAACATTTCTGAACTGGAAGATTTCCTGTGGAAACCTGCAGCACTGACTATAATCACAATTCTCCACAACATGCAAAGCTATGTTATCAGTGGGTATGGGAAGAGGACAGAGCTGAGATGTAGGCCCTGCACATCCTCTCCCTCCCATGAAGGCTGTGGTGAGTATCTGTCCCCACAGATGCATTTTTCCTACCTTTCTATGGCAACCACACTGGAAGGTGAATTACTTTATGCTGTAGCAAAAAGAATTCAATGTGGAGCAGCCTTAAAAGGATTAGTCTCGGGGTTTTAGGTCAGCCTTGTGTCCTCTCTTATACCTCTTTCTACATAGAGCCCTCACCTGTCATGTTTCTCATGACAGCAAATAGTGACAGCATAGGTAGTCTGATTAGCATAAGAGAGCCACAACCCTATCCAACTAAGTAGAAACATGAAGATACTTCAAGATAAAGAGTAGCTACAGAAAAACCCTCCTTTTGTCTTTCTTATGCCTCTGGAGGACTCCTGACATGATGTAAGTGTACTTTCTCTCTGACCTGCTGCCACCCAGGTGAGGTACGTAGAGACGAATTTCACTTGTAAGGCAGACATCTGACCTGCCATCAGCAATAAACCTGAGAAATCAGACTGGAGACTTCTTAAAACCCCAAGCCAATCCACTCCTTCCAAAAAAACTGATTGCAGCATTTAGAATGTGCTATTTCTTTAGCACATGAACAAACTTAATCATCTCAGAGAGTCAGTTCAGAAGAGCACGGTTCTGGCCATAAGCAGCTTCTACTGAAGGATGTCCCGCAGTGTGCTGGCCTACATCCTACATCTTGTGGCCCCTTCTCTGTCACCACACAGACCATGGAACACAGTCACTGCAGCAGTGCCAGCAGCTTTACTGAGCAGTGACTGTCATACCCGAGTGCTGCTGACCTGACACTTGGTTCCAGCCCTCAGTTCCTCAGGGAGCACGGTGCTGCTGCCGGCATGCTGTGTCTGCACCTGCTCCTTGACGAAAAGAACTGACGGGGTGTGAGCAGGATTAATTGTTTTCTACTAAATAATGCACAACTGAGGTTAGTTTTTGCTTTCCTTGTGGTTCATGATGCCAGAGAAGCTTCCTTGTTTAAAGTAATATTTTGGTAAAATTCTGGCCATTTTACTACTATGTAATTCTTGTCTCTATCCTCTCTGCCTTGGCTTATTTCTGATCACTTACCCTTTTTTTGCTATAAGGTCTAATTTTGTTCTGATTAAATGAAAAAGCCGTGAGACAGACTGAACTAGGTGAACTGTCAAACAGCTAGGAGACTTACCAGCACAGAAGTATTTCCAAAATAAACAGTTCCCTAAGAGAAGACTTGACAAACAGCCTGAACAATAGGATTCTTGAACCCTACCCAGTTGATGTAAATCTTTTCAGGGCTAATTTACATAATTTGACATAATTACAGTTATAACGACTTGAAGAAGCTTTGGAAGAAAGAATGTCACCGAAGCCTACATTTTATTGGGTCTCATTGCATTTGGCAGCCGTACAGAACTGTGGAGCATGGAAATGTGCTCAGATAGATCCTGATTATACAAACACATAATACGAGCTTTGAATGCTCAGTGCAAGTTTGCCCTGTACAGAAAGATACCAGAGGTATTTTCCCTCCATTTGACTGTCCATCAAACCACCATTTTGTCCACAAGGTAGCAGTGGACATCTGCCTGCCTGACTCCAGCTGCCTGCAACTGAAGGTAGCCGGGGAATTTAAAACTTTAAAACCAACGTAAAAGATAAATTTTTAAAAAATAAATGAAGTTTTATATATATATATATATATATACACACACATACACATATTTATATGTATGTGCATACACACATGCTTCTAATAATTCAAAGATGCAAATTAATAATTAAATAATACTGGACTAGATCTATGGAGGCAAGGAGTCTCCTAGCTTAGGATGACCCCATATTCTACTTTTGTCATACAGAATTCGCTCATCATTACACTTCAACAGTGCAAAGGAGGAGGAAAATGTTATCTGAAGAATACTTTTTTCAAAAATCTGTACAGTCTTCTACCAACCAGTCTGCTATCCATGTCCTACCACAGACTATTGTGGTGCCTCTCAGGTTATAGTATGATACAGTGAGACTGTTTCCTCCTTCAAATTAATTCAACATAAATGGAATGCAGGAAAAAATACTGATTTTTGTGCTGGTCAGGGAAGTCTAGTTCAATGGGTTTATCCTCCTTTGGGTGGTGAGTTTGTTTTCCCATTCCCTTTCTGCGACAATTCTTCACTTGCACTGCTGTAACTTTAATTATCTGTGTAGCATCAGACAATCTTGTTGAATGGCTCAAGAAAAGTCCAAGCACACTCGCAGCCAAAGGAAGGTGCTATAGAAAGTTACAACCAAAATCTACATTTTAATTAATAGTTCACAAATTTCAAGACTACATAAACATCCTGCTTACTTGCAGGAGTTCTGCTCACTGCACAATATGGAAAAGAAACACCAGAGCTTTAAAAAAGCAATAAAAAAAGACTCTTTTCAGAGAGACAGCTTCCAGCATATTCACATAAACACATCTTTTCACCAGACTAAATGGGAGCATTTCAAAGGGAGTTGATCAGTTGATCTTGGCAAGCCTTGATTACATTCATTAGCTTTCTTGTAGCTTACAGAACATACCCAGGGCTGTGTATCCGGCTGTATGTTGAGCAATAATGACATTTCAATTGCACTGGGTATTAACTAAATCCTTTTTGAACAGAAAGCTTTTAATTATTTCATTTGTCTCTTAATTTATCCTAAAGAAACAACTAATTAGCTTTCACTTCTCCTGGGCAGAAGTTTCTTTGTAGAAGGAACATAGAGTCCATAGAGTCTAGTTTAACAGCACTGCAACTTCATTGACAGACTGTATTTGGAATGTGGAATTGAAACAAACCTAATGCAGTTAAATACCATTTTTGAAGCTTTTAATGGCTAAATTATCAAGGCTGCCCCTCAAATGAGACCTAAGATAATCAGATCTAAGATAGCAGCAGTATCGTGGAGTAGAAGCCATTAATTATCATAAAAGGTTTGGGGTGATACAGAGCAATCACTGAATAGGTGAACAATACTAAAATGTTACTGAAATATTCTTTAAAGAAATATGTTAATTATACTTTTTAGAAATTATAAAAAAATCAAGTGCAGAGATGGATACAGAGAGGTCCTCCTCATAGCAAGACCAGTCTTAAAATTTGTTAGAAGGCATAATTAAAACTTTGCCCTTGAGGGGACTGAAAGTGAAAGCTGGGATGACTCTCCAGTTTAGGGATTTAAGGTCTACTGCTTGAGAGTTACTGTTGAAAGGAAAATATCTGGATTATTTTCAAGTAAAAAGACAAATTATGTTAATAGTATGCTTTGGTGATTAGTGTCCAGATGCTCTCTGCATCAAGACTGATGCTAAACTGTATTAACGAGGTCCTAAAATATGCAGATAATGGCTGTTATAGAAGAATAAACTAATGAGCTGACAGAAAAGATATCTGGAAACTCACATGGATGATACAGAAAAAATAAATGCAGGAATAAAATTACTTCAGTGATAAGCTTCAGCCTGTGGGCTGGAGTACACAAGAAGATTTGTAGACTCAAAACTGCAGAGGAACAACTGTGAGACCAGGCAAACTCACACTTGGGATGACATTTTCCCCAGAAGCTAAGTCATGCACTCATTTTAGAAAGTAATGTAATTTCATTTTATTGATCCAAAACAACCAGCCTGGCAGTACCTGACATGGTAGACTTCCATGGTCTTAAACTTACCTTAGGAAAATCTCATCTTCCTTTGAAAGACCAGATTTGCCTATCTTTAGCTTTCAGCCACTGGAACCTGTTTTGCCCTCAGGATAACCCTCTGTGGAAACACTGATATGCTGTGAGTGACCTTGCCACTTCCTCCTAGCTAAACCAAACAGTGATCTCCATAAGCATCACATTGCAGAGCATGTTTTTCAGCCCCAGAACTTTTATGGCTTCTTTATAGTTCTTCCTCATGTTTCTAAATCAGTTAGGAGGTGTGGACACCAGGCTTGGGCGAGGTATCCTATCAGGATTCTCATCCCTGCAAATTCACTTCACAGCCTTTACTTGCACCTCTTTCTTTATCTGTCTCACACTCCCACACACACATACGCAAAAACATTAGCCTTTTTAAGAAAGGAACTGCAAAAGTAGCTCATTATGAGGCTGTTATCACTAATGATCCACTACTACCTTTTCTGAGTTGCTACTTCCAAACAAGCAGAAAGATTTCTGTTCCTTGCTCCTTTTTTTGGGGGTGTTTTTTTGGATTGAGCTAATTCCATAACAGTAAACAAATTATTTATGGCGAACTTAGAAAATATAATACAAATTTTGTACCCTCCTTTGGTAGCTGACATTGGGAGCAAATCTAAACAACAGCTTCCTGGCTCTGTGCAAAGAAAGCAAGGATAAATCTCGTTCTGTTCTGTTAGTGAACAGATTACTCACACTTCAGATAACAGAAACAGCTTTTAAACTTCCCGAAATGTCTGCTGAGTAAGAATTACCTGAGTAAATTGCCAGTAAAGCTTCATTCTCTTGGCTTTGGCATAATTGCATTCGATGAGCCTGGGCCTGCTGTTCACATCCACCAGGCATCTGTTGTCATCATCGTCGATAGTGGGACTCAGAACACCCACGTGGAGCTGCTGACTGCTTGTGTAATAAACATTCTGCAACAGGAAGCACAAACAAGATTTGTGGCCTCTACACAGAAGCAGCACTTTTACCCAAAAGCCAATGGCAAAGATAAATACGCTGAATAGCAGTAGGCTGACCCCATAGTGGCTTTTTAATGATTTTCTTTCATGCAGAAAGCAATATAACCTTTTAAAAGTTGTTCTAAATTAGCAATTAACTGTTCATTGTTATCAACAAGTAAATGTTGGTTAAGTATTTAAGAGGAAATATGCAAACACAACTGATTGTTGTCTCATCCTGTGCCTCTTTATTGCTGTTTCCTGTGGTAGTGAACCTGAGTCTTCAAAGAGCAAAACATATACTCTCATATGAGTGGCCTCACAGGCCTCAGTGATCACACTTAGGACCAAGGGCATGAAATTATTGTATTATACAAATTCTTTCTACTCTGTTTGACTACAAAGATATATGGGAGGTTTCTCTAGAAGAAAGAAAAAGAAGGGAAAGGAAGGTGAGCTTGCTAGATGGAGATGATATGTCCTCTTGAAGACTATCAGGTTACGTACAAGCCCAGGAACATAACACAGGACTATTCCATGATTCCCTGTTTGCTATTCACAAATAGAAATAATTTTGCTAAAATCAGACCTTTTTCTTGGAAGAACAACGAGAAAGATGAAATGGAAACATCATGCTTTAGGTGTCTTTGATAACTCAGTGGTATCAACAGAGGAGAGTGGACAGAAGCGCCAAATTAATGCCTCTGTCATAACATTAATGCCTTTGTCTATAACAAAAGGGAAGCTGGAAATTATGCTGTGTGTATTTGGGAATCTTTTTTGTTCCCAGAAGCTGCTGATACTATCTGTTGCAATTTGTTCATTGTTGATATTGTAACTTGTTTTATATGTGTGTGTTCCTATGTGTGTGAAAACTCTGACAAAATAGGAGAGAAAGAAGAAAAACAGAACAAACCAGGACTGAGGAGAGATGTAGGAGCTGCACGTAAAAAAGAAAAAAAAATATTTGAATGCTGAAAGCAGTTAATGTAGGGATTGAATATAATGAAAACAAATGGTGGTGTTTCTGGGCAAGACTAAATCCCCTGTTTACCCTCCTGTAACACTGCCAGGGCAGATCTGCAGCAGATGTAAACTGACAGAGTTGCATAAAAGTTAGTGAAGTTGCCATTAATGGTTTAGACCAATCCAAGCTTTTGCACCCCTTAATGAAGTTTTGTTTTTTTCACCCCACAGAAATGATAACAAGTCTGAGCTGGCTGAAGTGAGGTGAGTCTAGGTTTTAAGAGGTTGAACAGAGAAAAGTTGAATAGTTCAGTCATGCCTTACAGGAGAAGAGCAGGGTAATAAAAGGACCTAGCAGAGCACATTTCCAGATTGTTGGTTATGAGGGATTGAAGTAAACTGTAAGAACTATGGAAAGACTAACAAGGTCACACCCCAACAAACTCCATCCACAGGTCAGGTTATTAACATTCCTGCAAACAAAACTGATGCCCTAGAAGAGTAATAAACATTTAGAAAGCACTTTCTAGACAGACCAACAGCAACTACTTTAGACACATTTACGATCTATTCAGATGTGCTTTTATTTTTAGACAGACTGAGGTAGTCATATAGCAAGATGATCTTTAAAGGGGATTGCTAGGAAACACTAACTCTACAAATGAACATTTTGTTGCAGCTCGTTTATCTCTTACCTGGAATTGCTACTAGAAAACAGAGAAGGAAATTGTCATTTATTTTCATTTTTAACTAATAGGAAGGAATTTGTCATTTCAGCACATTGTCACCACAGAAAACACAGTAGAAGAAAATAAAGGAAGTTTTCATTTTTTTTCTAAATGATACGCATCAGTCACTGGAAACAAATGAGCAGCCTTGGCTGTAACTCTGAGAAGTGCATGCTATAGCTCAAGGTTGCTCGTGCAAAAGAAAGGGGTGTACCTGCAAACCCTCAGGGCTGAGCTGTTTTTATTAGCTCAGTCCCCTCAGCCTTTCATAGAAACCTGAAGGCTGCAGGTAATCACAGTAAAGCTCCACCAGCATTTTTTTTTATGTCAAAGCAGCAATGGTTCAGTCTGAGCATCTTTCTGGGCAGAAGCAGAATGATGGCTCTGGCTGGGGGAATTACTCAATTCAGTTTGTTGGCAAAACTGTACAGAAGTAGAAGGATCAAATACAATTATGCCTAATAGATTTAATTAGCAGGTTCCTACTTATTTTCAGAGAACTCAGCCTACCTGCTAATATCACTTCATTTTTCATTGTGGTCCAGTTAAAAAAAGAGGTGTGAAACCTTGAAAGCTCACCTAGTATTGAGAAAGGCACTTTGCAGCTCATAGGTGGCACGTAAAAATAGGGTCAAACTGGAACAGACTGTGGTAGGGTGGCGGTCTGTCCAACAAGACTCGATTTTAAGATGTTGCTTTGCTCATCCAGTGATATGGATAATATTGAATTATTGTCTATATTATTATAAACATTTTAGTATCTTATACAATAATACAATATCTTATTTCATTTCAGAATTCAAAACATTGGACAACCTTGCAATGTTGGTAACTTGACTGCTATGTTTTCCTAATGGAGGAATCACATCAAAAGCACATACACTCTACAAATTCAACTGGAGCAGCATGATAGCAAACAGTAAGGTACTGTTTTGTGTTGCACTTGGCCAGAAAACTTTTCTTGAAAGCTACAGACAATCCATGGCTCATTTCACCCACCCTGAGAATGAAACAGACCCTGCACTGAGAGAACATAATACCATGTTAGGATGAAGAAGGACATCCACTTGGTAAAACAGAATTAACTATTGACACTACTGAGTGACAATCTTCTAGTCTGAAACTTAAAGCTATTAAACATGAAACCATGGTAAAGTCTCCCTGTAAATAATTTCATATATTAAAAATATTTTAATTGTTTTCATGCTATATCTTCCTGTTTCTTTCTTTTTTTTCTTGTGGCTTGATTGTTTGTTTGTTTAAAGATGGTACACAAATCACTTGTTTGGAGTGGTCTGTAGGAGATTTAACCACCTGAGTTACGTGAACTGAATTACCATCTCATAATGTACGTGCTAGGTATGCACATATATGACTTTTTATTGAACATATTTTAAATTGACCTTCAGGTAAAATATGATCACGCTTTAACATCTTATGTGTAGCCCTGTAAAGACCAGTTTGCACTCATGATTTAAATAAATTGCTTAATAGATTAATGGTCACAGCAGTGCTTCTTCAAGAGTATCCTTTTAACAAGCATCAACAAGCACACTAGCTGTTTTGCAGTCCACTTCAGCACAAAATGGACAGCTGAGGCACTTTTGTTTAAAACACTTCAAAAGATACTGGCAAAATGCATTTTACCAGCACATTTGTTCCTACTGTATTGCAATATCACCATCAACTAACACAACAGGATAGAAATTCTGCAGTAATTCTGGAAAGCGTTTTTTAACAACCAGTCCAGTACTGCCTTGGAAGTCCAAATGACTGAATACTGAATATGGACTAGCAAGTCACTATGGTAACTTTGAAAATTTTACTCAGAACTTGGACCTTTAGCTTCTGCTAGAGCAGCAAATGTCACAGCAGTTCTTGTTCAAGGGACTAGAGATTCGACAGACAAAAATTTGTTTAGTTCTACTGCAGTCAAGGCATTTGCTGGATGCTGACTTAGAGCGTTCTTTCAAAGTTCCTTTGCACTTTGAGGATGCTGCCTTAGCAAAACAAGCACACATTTTCACATCACCATCACATACGTACTCCCCGAGGAGCTACTGAATTTCCACAGAAAGAATCTTGCTTGGATATTGGTACCAAAGCACACAATAACAACTCCCTTATTCTGTAACAAAATAAGCCTCCTTACATTTCATTAGTCTGTCCTAGCCCACAGCACTTTACCATCTGTTTTTTCCACCATAACAGCATTGATGTACAACTATGTCTCCTGGGCATGTGGAAGGGAGCACCTTTGTTCAGGAAATCAGTTAGGTTTGACAAAAGGCACTTACCTTCTCAAAAAGTGAAGCTACAAGGATTCAGCATTACTGTCAGTGAGAGACTGTTAAAACACAGGCAAAATTTGTGATCCACAAAGTGTCAGAGTCAACGTGGGCCCTGAGCCTTCAGTGCTGCCACATCTCCTTCATCTACACTCCCACCAGGTGCTTTTCAAGGGTGGGGGAGTGCCATCCTCGCACTGACAGGCTGGCTCTGGAGGCTGCCACATGCTGCCTGCTTTCCCTGCCCTCCCTGCAGGTCCAGCCACATTCAGTGACCTCAGGAAACTTCCTCTGGAAGCCTGGGGCTCACAGCACATTAAAGTGATGGAAAAGAAATCGTTCAAAACAAAACAGCATGTTATTAATCTAAAGATTTGCAGCAAGCAAATGATTAAATGAACAAAAACTTCCTCCCTGGCTCAGAAGAGAAGCATATTGGTTGTCTTCAAAGTATGACATGGGTCTCTGCCACAAGGCTTCTGTTTCAGTCTCTCTTCTGTTCTCAAAGACCAGCCTCATAATGAATCTCTTTATAACTAATCTTCCTCCAGACTGTGGGGATTTTTGTAAATTGCTTCATAGTTTTTTGTTGGTTTTTTTATATCTGCTGAGAAACTTGGACTGTAAATTGCCTTATGCCTGTAAACCAGCATCTTCCAACTAAAGGACCAATTATTCTGTAGCTTTCTGGAATTTATTTTCCTAGAAGTGTCATATCTAAGGCCATTGCTTCATTTCTGCTTGCTCCACCTAATTATCTCTCTAACAATTCACTTTAAGGCAAAATACAAGACAAGCAAACTGAGATTGGTATCACACAATTACAACTAATAAAATGAGTCCCAAAATCTTCATAAGGTGAAAGTGTGAGGTCAAGTCAAGGCATAATTTTAATTTTTTATTTAATTTTTTTCTTTTTTTAAGAACAACATTTATTTGTCCCAAAAAGACAGCTAAAACATGAAAACACAAATCAGTAGTAGGGAGCCTCATAGCCTAGGATTCTCCATAAATCATCACAATGACTAGGAACCATCAGAGAAAATTTGGTGTTTGAAATGTTCTCCCCAGCAACATTTCAGGTGAACTAATTGGCTGAATGTTACTTTTTTTTCTATTTAGTATTCTAAGCTTAACTTTTTCTGAAAATTTGCTTGAATATCAGGAAAACTTAAAATATTGCAATGACAAAAAAAAAAGCTGTGTGTCAGTACTGCTACTCAGACCAACTCTAGAATAAAGGAGAAGCAGCTTCATCCTTTATTTGCCATTGGACCATGCCATACTGTCTTAGTTTTGATTTGGCTTCCCACCAAGTCCCCCAAGAACCAGCAAAAAGCCTCCGGCAAAGAGCGAGAGAGAAGAAAAACTGTGAAAAAAACCAGAATAGCAGAACTATATTAAAAAATAAATATATTTACGTAAAGTACAGCTATATACAGTTAAAATACTATGTACATATAAAAAAAAAAGAAGCCCAAACAATGCCAAAGGGGAAAGGGGGAAAAGGGACAAAAAAGGAAAACCAAAACAAATATGCACAATTGAAACCTGTGAACAATCAATTAAAAAAAAACCTAGTAAAATGAGATCTCAATTCTTCCCTTGAGAGAGCAGGATCGCACTAGACATCATCAGCACCCTCCGCCTCCCACGTGGCAAACAACGAGCCTGACCAGGCCTCAACTCCCAGATGAGCGAGACCAACTGCAGGGACCTGCTGTCTCCCAACCTCTCTCTTTCTTATTTATACCTCTGCTTACATAAAGGGATAGAGTGGAATACTTCCTTGGTTACCAGGAAAAAAGGCCTAAGGCTCAAAACCATTACACACACACCCTTGCTCATTTTTTGGGGCTGCTGGGTCTCCCCCTTCCTCCTGATGCAATGTCATGTAGCAAACCAGCATGGAAGAGAAAAAGGAGAGTTTATGCCTGGAGTCACAGTCTCCCCTAAATCTCAGTTGTTACATTCAGAACAAAGGGTCCTTTTGCCCTTCTATTCCACCTATCTCCTCTGAGACAAATTCTGCTTTCAGCTGTAATCTTGAAATATCACTTGCACAGCCATCTCACTGCCAAAGAGTTCATCCTCTGCTCAGCTAGTGCTCCCTGGGAAAAACACTGCACAGCACACACACATGCCAGAGGCATGGAGTGAATGTAACACAGACCAGAGCTGTGCAAGAATGCTCAGAATGGGAAAATAGGAGCTTGCGGTTTATAAAAGGTTAGAGTTGAGATAATGCATATGGATTCTAGCATAGACACGTAGCAAAGACTTCTTTGCTTATGTTAGAGATCATCTGACAAGCTTTGGCTGCCTTTGTTTCACACAGGGGGGATGATGCCACGCACAATTCACAAAACCCCCTTTAGTACCTTAGCTCATCCGTGCCGACAGTGAGGCCCAGCTTAGCCAGATGGAGCAGACCAAAAAAATGGGATAGATCTCACTGGTATAGATCATCCAGTCAGTCAGGGCCTGGAAAACTGCTGTCCTTTCTAAAAATTACCAACTTGATTGCCATGGCAGGTTTCCTGGAGGGCGGGAATGATAAAAATTTTGGTGCATTACTCACATCTTATGTGCTGTGTTGCAGTGGTTGATCAGTACAGAATACACCCTGAATCTGCCACGAGAGCAATGAAAGCCCAGGTAATTCAGCCAACTATTTTGGTCAGTGAAAATATAAAACCTGCACAAACCCCCACGATGCTGTAGAATACACAGGAAGGTAAATGAGCTCCGCTTACATGGACACAAATGTACAGCTTTGGCCTCTAAATGATTTGATGTAGCATTTCTGTTCAAGACAAGTTTGCCCTAAAAGGTCAAATTGTGATTCCTGTTGCAATTAACACTGAAATTCCACTGACTTTAAGTGCAATGAGATTTTTGGCTCCAAGTTTATTATTAAACTTTGAAAAGCCACCAGACTTGATAAAGACTTCAGAGCTGAAGTGGGTTGCCAGTTGCAGTAAATTATTCATAGAAGCTGGTTTATCATGTAGCAAAAAGTTACACTAAGATGTTCAACTTAACACAAGATGATTATCTGAAGGATAAATTGCCAACTCCCCACTGGAAGTTTAAAGCAATACATACCAATTTTCAGGCTGAAAGCCATTTGTAATCCTTGTGGCAATGTTCCCAGATGAAATCATGCTAGAGACTGGTACATGACTCTGCATTTATAATGAGCAAACTTAATGCTCACCACCAGCAGTATTTATTTGCTACCCTGCTTTCGGCATAATAACTACAAGGGATAAGAAGCTTGATTCACCACTACTTTATTCCATCTTTGAACCATATTTTTCTCCAAATGAATCCATGAAGTCATTTATTTTCAGGAGTAGTGTATTAACATGTTAGGTCCAAAGTCTCACAGCAGATTCATACTGACTACAGCTCCAGCTAAAGAGCAGTCTAGTGGATTCCAGTAAATACAGAATTAGCTAACACTGCCATTACTTGGTTATTTATGCTGTCCCTGACTTTTATTCTGGCATTTCTTGTTACATAAACACATCTGAAAGAAAGAACTTTCCAACCTTGATAAGAATCCAAGTTCGTTTGAACAACACAAACATATACATCACTAAGATAAAAATCAGGTGTTCTCCCATTTACTATTCATGTAGGAAGTGACAGAAGAGGGATGCTGTCCTGTAGCCACAGCAACAGCATCTCTATGTCTGATGCTGCCCTAAAACACCTACTGCTGAGGAAGTAAATGTGTAAGAACACAGGCTGAGAATTACAGAAAGTTACCCCTAAACCATAGGTCAACCCTTAGAAGATTCATGTTATTATTCTGAGGCAGGTTTTCAGCCTGATGATACAACCTTAAAACCATTATAATGAT